TCACTGCGTTGAAATCGTCGATCAGTTGGCCGAATATGATACCAATGATGGGGAAAGGGACACCCGATCCAATTGCAGACACCAGGCCAACAAAGAGGGTGCCCAATTCTAGTCGCGAGGGATTGGCAGCCACGAGCAGCCTCGGATAGTCTGCAAGGTTGCCGAACCCCATGGTGACTTAAAAATGGCGTTCAACACTGGGATTGTCGTTTGGGTGTTGAAGAAGCTAAGTTCTCGCAAGCGATCAATTTTGCGCTTTGTGAGTTTGCCAGTGGCGTCACCATGAAAATTGCACCCACTCCTTAGCGTAAATCCATTCGGTGAAGCGACTTTTAGCTGTGGGTTTCAACGAAGACTCAAAGAAAGATGTATGCCAAGTGTGAAGATGGATATTTCCAGGTGATTTCCGGGTGTTTAACATGCCGAGCTAAATTTTCAATCAGCCGACATCGGTTTTGACAGTTGGACCCGAAGATGCAACCCACTAGGGGACGGCATGAAGAATTTCAATTATACGGAGGGGGTTATCAGATCAAAGTGGAGCCTGTGTACCGACGTTCCGCACTACCGTCCATACGTGTATGTTCGGGTGGATACAGCTGTATTGTGTATGTTAATTCAAAGGGTACATATTTTACATCTGAAATATACTTGTATTTTAAATGTGGAAATCTCAGGCTGGTTGTGGTGGAGTGGACATGATGGGAGATTACGGAAAGTCTTGATGAACCGTCTCCAAACTCTCTCAGGGCTATGTAGCAGGTATCATATTTATTAGTACATGTGTATTTTACTCTCATCTTTCGTAGAACTATCTATGGATGTATTATTGGTTGATACCTTGCATGTTAAATGTGCGAAAACAAAATTCTGCAAGAACGTTATTATTTCATACAATATACAAAAACAACAAAGCCAAGTGGGTCCCGTAATAGCATGCAATTCTTTTTAAAAAAAAACCCAAAGATTATCTGATTGATTGGGGCAAAACGGAGTTGACAACGCGTTACTGCCCCAACAAGGAAGCTCAAGGTGGGGCAACGCGAGTTACCCCCACTTCTTGTCTCGGGATGATGACGGCAAATGAAAAAAAAGGACCTCGGGAATATGTCATAAAATTTTGTACATTGTATATTGTAAGTTTTGCCGATCCCAAGTCAAGCACTGAGTCGAGAGTGAAGAAAGGTCAAGCCAATTTACAGCTTGGCATTCCACGCGGCGCGATCAGCAGATTCTAAAGGTCGCTCGCGCCCGTCCCAAAATAGAGGACACAATTGGAACCACTTTTCGCGACTGCAAATCGAGTGCACCGATCGCTTATGTCCGAGATCGACGTACTTGCCAATTGTGAGACCCTGCGCGTTCTCGTAGGACAAGATGGTCGCGCCGGTGGCCTTGGGCTCGCCGACAGCATTAGCGGTCCGGGGATCGTCCAAGAAGACATAGTGGATGCAGCTCGAGTACCACGCATTTACGCGGTGTGCACCTCGGTAGCTGGCATCGCCGACGAGAGAGTGACGGCCGCGATCATAGTCTCCAGCATCGTAGTGGGCGCCGTAGTGATCCTCCTGTAGACAAGGTGTTAGTATCAATGCCTGGCTAAAGCGCGATGGAGTCAGGGAATTTACCTTTGACCAGTACAGCTCATAATACGAGAAGCGAGCATCATCGAAGCGCCCGAACAAGCACAATACGTGGGGGTCAAAGTGCAGTTTGCGCAGATACTCGGTGTGCTGTTCGATAGTTCCAGTCTCATTCCAGCCTGCGGCAACACGCGGGTCATTCTGCCACTTGTTAAACAGCTGGACGTGCTCCGAACTTTCCCAGTCAACGACTTCGAGTGAGAAGTGCTCGTTGATCTCTGGGATGTAACGACTGTAGGCAATGGATCCGGGGTGCGGCTTGGGCCGGCGAGTTGGGTGGCGGGTATATACAGGCTCCTCGGGGAACTTGTTTGTGACTTGATAGTTCTCCGGCATGATGGGATATTGAGACAAAGGCTCCCGCATGGGGCCGTCTGTGCCATCTCCTACCACCCAGATGGGACGAGGGCCCATTGGAGAAGCAGCACCTTGCCAGAAGGCGCTTCGGAGGATCAGCAAATCATCGAATTGCAGAGCCTTGTTTTCTCTGTCACGCAGGTTTCTCGGGTGCTTGATTGCCAACCCGGTGGTAAGAAGCTCATTTTGGATGACTTCTTGCCCTGCACCGGACAGAGTCAGTCTGAAGTATTCGATTGCTGGGTATCCAAGGTAAATGGCGTGAATCACGTTCCAAATTTGACCCAAAGAAGGGGCGCTGTTCCCTGACCACTCGAAGACAGTCTGGGGACTGCGACGTGCGCGACCCCAGGGAGTGTTATCTGAGATAGGTGGCTGTTCAGTCTTGGGAATGAATGTCAAGTCGAGCCATGAAAGCAAGTCTGAGTGTAGCTGTTCAGGCAAAGACTGGCCCTTTACGGGCTGCTCCTCAAGTGTCAAGTTGCGCTTTGCCGGTGTTGATCCAGCGACAGTGTTCACACGATATGCGGTCAGATAAGGATGTGGTAACTTTACCAAAGGATACTGGTGTGATTTTGAGGCCATTGTCGTAAATTTCTCGATCGTCAAGGGTAGGATCAAGAATTACAAAGGAATTGGAGTTTTGGGGTAAAGAAAAAAGAGAGCTCCCCGCCCTGCGCAATCGGATTATATGTAGGTCACACCCCGAAAAGGCTAAGGATAATCAATCAAGGAGATAGTAACCGAGGCCGAATCCTTTCTCACAGTAAAAGATCCCAAAGCAAATTTTTTGTTTCAGAGAGGATACATGAGCCGGAATTGATCGCCCTATGGGGCTGTTATTTTCAAATATTTACAATTGTACTCCGTACAATATTATGTACGGAGAAAATACCGATATCGCCTATGGAGTAAACTTCCGAGGTTCCGTGGAAGCCTTCTGCGACCGAGCTTCCCCTACTAATAACAATACATAATCCTTAGCCCAGCCCAAGAGAAAATACAAAAACAAAGCCTAAAGTTGAATTAGTCACAATACTGTGCATATTCTTCACAATTCATCATGTCTTTACGATCAGGTCCCTTGAATCATGAGAATTTCTATATCTCTTTTCCACATGAACGGGTTGTCCAGGTCACAATCAATAGACCGGACAAGTTAAATTGCATCGACAAAGCTACAAGTCGAGAGATTGCCAAGATTTGGGAGCTCTTTGATGAAGATGAAAGCTTATGGGTCGCCATAATCACCGGTGTTGGGCGAGCCTTCTGTACAGGGGCTGATCTAGGAGGTGGGTTTCTTCTCTTCTATCACCCAAAATATCGAATATAAAGTCTGACTGAAGTGAAAAGAATGGAATGCAATGAACAAGGCCGGTATCGTCAATGACATGTCCGCCCCAGGCCTGGCGGGATTGCCTCGCCGGACCGGCAAGAAACCGATCATCGCCGCCGTAAACGGCATTTGCATGGGCGGAGGCTTCGAGATGGTGGCAAATTGCGATCTTATCTTAGCCTCATCCTCCGCCATTTTCTCCCTTCCGGAGGTGAAGCGAGGAATCGTGCCAGTGGCCGGATGTTTGCCGCGATTGACCCGCACCATTGGACTGCAACGCACCATGGATCTCGTGCTTACTGGCAGGAATGTGAGCGCCACAACGCTACATGACTGGGGTCTGATCAGTCAAGTGGTGAATTCACCGGCCGATGTTGTCCGAGCAGCAGTTGAAGTTGCCGAAGTCATGTGCAAAAACAGCCCTGATTCCCTTATTGTTGGCCGTCTGGGTGTTCGAATGAGTTGGGAAGCTGGTAGTGTGGAGGATACTGTATCAGATCTGGCGGATCAGTGGTATCCTCGGTTGGTTGGGGGTCCTAACTTTGCCGAAGGCATCCAGGCATTTGTGGAAAAGCGGTCACCAAGCTGGAAGAATTCGAAGCTGTGAGAGAAAACAGAAAAACTCCACACACACTACTCTGTAATCAGATTGGGTGGCGCAATTAGTTCCCACTATCGTACGGCCGTGCCATGGTTAGTAGTGGGGCATGTACTTATCTGATTAACTGTAACGCGATGTAATTAATTACTCTTGTTTATTTTTTTTTCTTTTGGTGCAATGTATAGGTCGAATACAGGATGCACGTTGGAAGAACTTTGAACTAGAGGAAGATGTGAGCATCAAAGTACAGATGCAAATAACTAGATATATCTTCTCACCTGGAGTCTGCCACTAATCTAGACGTTCTGAAATCTCTATCGTGCGTTTCATTGAAATTAGTATAATACATGAATACATATATTACATATTGCTAGTATCTATGAAGTACAGATATTGGCCGGGTAAGTCCGCATAAACCTCGACGTAGCGCGTTTAGTAGCCTTTAGTGATGGCCCCCAAAGCTCAAATACAATGACCCAATCTCATTCAATTAATAGTACATACTTTTTCTTAATTCTTTTTCCGGCTCTTGTCGCGGTACGAGAACATTATCAGTGCCAAGCTATGCCAAGCTCGTCTCCCATATTAATTACCTCAACAGGAAGCCTCTACGAGCTGCTTGAAGCTAGAAGGTGTTTCATCCCCGGTTGACCTTCGCTGCATCTATCCGGTATGAATCATCCAGGCAATCTGATTAGATTCTTCCTTCGGAATGTCCCATTCTAGTCAACGCCTCAAGTGGGGTGACACATGGCCTGTGCAAAGAAGCCCTACAGAGGAGGGAAAGAAATCTCGGTTACTTGATTATCCAGCGAATGAACGCTGAGACGTCGCCAAGACTTTTCCTACTGGTTTATTTCTCACAGTGTGGCGTGCATTAGCCTTCCAAGAGTGTACCAAGCTACCGAGTTCGGGTGTTTTTTTTTTTTTTCCTTTAAAAAAAAAAGCGCTGGATCTGGAAGATTATATTTACTAATTTACTATAAGGGCAAGGGTTTCCCGGGGGCTCTGTTGTTTTTTTTGGGGGTACCTTCAACCTACTTTTTATTTCCAGCTCAACGACATGGGCCTTTCCAGATTCCGATCTGCCTTCCGGCGGTCATCGACCCAGGAGTCTGTCACTCAAGTCGCTGTGGCCACTGACGAAAAAAAGAGCGAACTGCCCACCGAGCCTGTTGCTGTAGCCAATGCGGAAAACCCTGAAGTTCCCACTGAAGATGCACAGCAGGGTGTCAAAGATGTCGAGGCTATGACTTTGAGCTGGACGAAGACCATGCTAATTGCGGTCTTTGTAAAGTAAGCTTCTATCTTTTGAACCCGACCCGCGATCGGCCCGTGTTAAACCCAGCTTGTTTACTAACGTGAATCTTCAATAGCATCTGGTTCTTGTACTTCGTCAATGCCATGCAATCCACCATTAACTACAGTTTGCTCGGTTATGTCACTAGTGACTTCGAGAGCCACTCCCTGCTGAACGTCATCTACATTGTCGCAGACGCCATGACGGCCGCAGTGTACATCCCCACGGCCAAGGTTATGGACGTTTGGGGCCGCGCAGAAGGTTTCCTGGCCATGACCGTTTTTGCTACTCTCGGTCTGGTCCTTATGGCTGTGTGCCACAACCTTCCCACCTTCTGCGCTGCCTATGTCTTCTACAGCATTGGATTCGGAGGTATGACATACTGCGTAGATGTTATCACCGCCGACATTTCCAAGCTCAAGAATCGAGGTTTGGCCTACGCTTTCACCTCCTCGCCATACATCATCACAGCGTTCGCTGGCCCCAAGGCTGCTGAGGGCTTCTACAAAGATATCAGCTGGCGGTGGGCCTTTGGCGCATTCTCCATCATCTTCCCCATTGTTGCCTCCCCTCTTTACTTCATCTTGAAGAGCAACCTTAAGAAGGCCCATCAGAACGGCCTTGCAGTCAAGGCGCGTAGCGGCCGGTCCTTCCTTCAAAGCATCTGGTTCTATACCAAGGAGTTCGATTGTGAGTGAACATTCCCAAAGGATTAGACCTTGTGAAATACTAACTTGCATAGTGTTTGGTGTTTTTGTGTTCTCTATTGGCCTTACAATCTTCCTCCTTCCATTCAGCATTTCGACTTACGCTCCTAACGGCTGGGCATCAGGCTACATCATTGCCATGATTGTGCTCGGATTTGTTATGCTTGCCGTCTTCCTCGTTTGGGAGTTCCGCTTTGCGCCCACACCAATGTTCAACTTCAGTCTGTTGACTGATCGAACTATCATCGGTGCATGCTTGCTCGACGCAACATACCAGCTCTCTTACTACTGCTGGAACAACTACTATACATCCTTTTTGCAGGTAGTCAACGACCTCAGCATCTCTGAGGCCGGGTACGTTAGCAACACTTTCGACGTGGTCTCCGGCTTCCTTTTGCTCGGAGTCGGTTTCGTCATTCGCAGAACCGGCCGTTTCAAGTGGACTCTCTACATTGCTGTCCCGCTGTACATCTTTGCTCAGGGATTGATGATTCACTTCCGCCGTCCCAATCAATCTGTTGGATATCTTGTCATGTGTCAGATTTTCATCTCTATTGGTGGATCTGTCTTCATCATTGTTGAGCAGCTTGCTATCTTGGCTGCTGCCGATCACCAGCACGTCGCAACTGTCCTTGCTCTGCTGAACGTCGTGGGTACTGTCGGTAATGCTGCCGGCTCTACTATTTGCGCCGCGATCTGGACCAACACATTCTACAAAGCCCTTGAGATGAGGCTTCCACAGTCTGCGATGGGGGACATCGATGCGATTTACGAGGGTCTTGACAAGCAGCTGGAATATCCGGTCGGGTCCACGGCGAGACTGGCTATTCAGGAAGCGTACGCCTATTCTCAGACAAGAATGCTTGCTGTCGGCACTGGTCTCATGGGTCTGTGCATCTTCTGGACCCTCATGATCCGGGATATCAACCTGAAGAAGGTTGCTCAGGTCAAAGGTACCGTCTTCTAAGGTATTTGCCTTCGCCTCTAGGAAAACATTTGACAACGATATTGTTGATGATCCATTTCCTCTTATATCCAAAACACGACTAGCTACCTGGAGGGAGTTATCGAACGGCTTTATTCTTTGTACCCTATTATCTAATTATATTCACATGACGATCAGAATTCAGAATGTTATGACTATCAAAATCAACATTTCCATTGTAATTTGTAGAGCTCTCTTGGCAACGAGCTTTTATTAATAATATGAGCCTCCCAAGGCTGTATGCCAGGGCTGGACAGCGTGATTATTATGCCAAGCATCCAACTTTCACATCAAACGTTTATACTCCGTGCATACATACTCTTGAAGTTCGTATACCAAGAACAGGAGCACCGAGTTTTCAGCGACCGGCAGCTCGCTTGGTGTTTCAATGTTGTTTCCGTTTACTGGGAGAACGGCGGTATGGTATGTAAAAGGTAATATTATACGGAGTGTTTTAAGTAAATTACTGTAATATACCGCTAGTATGTAGGTAATATACGTGTGAAACTAGTCTCCATAAGTAAATTATATGGGAAGCAATACATACATACATGTACATATCTCTTACCTCTGCAGTTTACGAAGCCCAGTGTCATTTGAACCCGCCAGATCCACGCAGGACTAGAGCCCATCCACTCTATGGTGGAACCAGGGACCAAAAAGATCTGATAACTTTTTCCCCCCAGGTCCAGTCTTGGCTGTTTTTGCGCGGCGTCCGAGAAATCTCCTTTTCTTTCGGCTCAAACCGGCCAGATCACACATGGCTCGGAAATCTCGATCCACAGTGTTTCACTTAGCAAAGCAATAATAGTCGGGTAGCTAGGCTCAGTGTGATCTCCAAGGAATATTTCCTCCAACGGAAAATCAAGCCGAGCTTCTACCATGTTGCTGGGTGGATATGGCCGCGTACCCAGGCGCATCCGGATGCCCCTCTGGTTCATTTATCCTCAAAACGGTCCGAATGGTATCGAATCTGATAATTTGTCTGATCATCTGATTAGATTTGGCTCCTGGTCTGGGTTCTTTTAGCGCCCTGCGGCGTTTTTATCTGATCCGAAGACCTTCGGCGGATAGCGAGACACACGACCCACCAAACCACAGCCCATGGTCCCCTGTGGATGTCCGCTTTCGGCGGCTTCATCCCTAGACATTGTATTACGTACTTCGGAAGCAGCAAGCTGGTAGCATAGTTCCGACTGCTTGGCAAAAAGAATTGTGCCTTGCTGGATGCCTTTTTCTTCTCGGATGGCTCTTACCACTAGTTCGAAATCTGTTGGACACCAGGTAGCACTAGATATAATTCCTAGTGTGCTTGGGAATGATAATGACTCGTTCTTTGTTTCGGTAGCAGAAACAGAAATAAACAAAAAGAAGACGACGACGATGGCATTAGAAAACAATGTTATAGGAGTAGATATCAGTATATCCAGATTTATATCCCGTCCGGTCTATTATTCAGTCTTGTGACAAAAGAACACAGCAGCTCCCAATCCTCCATCTCAGGATCACTCGTATATTTTTCTGATCTCGTGGAGAGAATTGAGGTGGGACATTGATGAGATTTATACAGGGCATATCTTGGTTATCATTGATATGTTTCCTCTTTGACGTCACCGAGACTTAATCCTCAATGATATAATGATATACCTACCATCCATGGACGTGGTTGTCAAAATGCTGGTCTCATTGTTGAAAGGAAATCGCCGATACATACGTATATCCAGCCACCATAGCAGGCTATATAGGCAGGCCTACTAGACTCTGAAAACACTCTACCCAACTTTTAAAATCTCCCAGCGACTGAAATCGACAATCTACTTACATATGGCATTCTACAGTTCAAGTATCCATTGTCATTCATGAAATCATAAATCTTCCATTTTGGTATCTATGTCATCAAAGGCAAACGCACCGATCCTCTATATACGTGCAGCAGGATTATCGACCATTATTTCAGGTGCAAAGAAAGCTTACTGCTTATCGGGGAAGCCAAAGTTGACACCGAACGGAGGGTAGACAAAGCGCTGGAGCTTGCCCTCGGCCTGAAGGCCATCGCTGTACTTGCGAAGGGTAGCCATATCTTCGGCGTCCAAGTGGATCAAGTCGGCACGGTTGGCCTCGATGCGGGCAGGGGTGACGGACTTGGCCAACACTGAAGAGCCCCGGGCGACTAGGATAATCAGTTAATACATTTTATCCGGTCTAGGGTGCGGAACCATGAGAAATACTTACTGTGCCAGCTGAGCAAAACAGTAGCCGGGGTAACCCCGCGCTTCTCGGCGACGGCCACGATGGGCTCAGCAGTGAACAGCGGGCTTCCGGTGCTACCCAGTGGGCTGTAAGCAGTGATGTGGATGCCAGCCTTGTTGCAGAAGTCGACAATCTCCTGCTGGGGGAGCAAAGGGTGGTTCTCGATCTGGTTGGCAGCGGGGACAATGGTGGCCTGGGGGAGGAGTTCCTCGAGGAACTTGACACTGTAGTTGGAAACACCGATGGCCTTGACCTTGCCGGTACCGACAAGCTTCTCCATACTCTTCCAAGTAGTAACGTGGGAGTGGCTGTGGACAATGTCCCGCGAGCCATCAGCGAGCTTGGGGAAGAGGTTGTGGTTGCCTGTGGTGGAAGTGGTCAGCGCCTCGAATCTACATATTTGAAGAAACTCAACCCACCCTTGGGGTTCATTGCCAGGGGCCAGTGCATCAGATAAAGGTCGACATATTCGAGTCCAAGGTCTTTCAGACTTTGCTCAAGGCCCTCCTCAACACGGGAGTGGTAGGAGCACCACAGCTTGGTGGTCACGAAGAGATCCTCGCGCTTGACAATGCCGGCGTCAATGGCCTCCTTGATACCCTGACCGACTTCGTTCTCATTGCCGTAACAAAGAGCGGCGTCAATGTGACGGTATCCCACCTTGATAGCGTGGAATACTGCGCGCGCAACCTCGCCGGGTTGGGATTGCCATGTTCCCAGGCCGAGTGCGGGGATCTCAGCGCCAGTGTTGAGCTTGAAACGGGTATCGCAGGCAGCCATTGTGAATTTATATATCAGAAGATTATTTAGAAGGAATACAAACAGAATGAAGTTGAAATGGTCCGATGAAATATAAAGGCGGGGGAGGTTTACAAAGCATAGGGCAACCCCCACGCGGGGCTATTCCCATCCTGGCCAAGAAAGTCGGCGATTTTTTCCATCAATCACCAGGGCTTTTGATCTTCTAGGACTTTTGATCTTCGATGGAATATTCCAGGAGTTCTATATTATCTCCGTCATCTCAAAAAGAGAAGTGAACATCCACAATAACCGTCAGACCAATATTTAGAGAACAAATCAGCAGACCAGCGGAAACCGTCTTCCAGTTTGAATAATTTCTCTCCACTTGACATCACAGCCACTCCGCATGGCTAGCTTGGAGTCGTGGGGTCGCTATGACTGCCAATCATCATCGTCCTTTTGGAGAGCAACCCAGATATTCATCGGCGCGGAAGCCAGAATCCGTGGTGTTTCACGATTTTTCATCCCGCATTTATAGTACATCGACATAATGGCAAATCAGGCAAATGGGACTGGGGAGAATCCTCACACAATCGCTTACATCGGAAATCTACACGCGATATTCCCTGGAGCCTCGACCCTATATATACACTGGACATCCTGGGGTCAACTTCTTTTATAACTCCAGACTTTTCCAATTTGATCATTACAATCTCATTTAGCAATTTTTAAGCCTCGATCTCACATATTATAACATCGAAGGGACGCTACTTCTCTCCCACAGTCGAAATGGCACCAGTCGCCATCTCCCCACAGGCCTCCCCTGTCTTCAAGAAGCGGGATGGCCAGGCACTCGAAGAACTGTCAGACGCTATTGATGAAATCAACGTTCTCAAAGACATGAAGAAGCGCGAGGCTGAAAAGAAAGAGGCCGAAGAGAAAGGTCTTTACGAAGAGTCCGAGTTCGACAAGGAGAAAGACAAGACCAATTTCCGCCAGTACGAAGACGCCAGCGACCGGGTCAAGAACTTCTACAAGGAACAACACACCAAGCAAACCGTCGCATACAATCTCAAGGCCCGTCATGACTTCCACAGCAAGACGCGCGCCGAAATGACCGTCTGGGAAGCCATGGAGAAACTTAACACCCTGATCGACGAGTCAGACCCCGACACCAGCCTTTCTCAGATCGAGCACCTACTGCAATCCGCCGAGGCCATTCGCCGCGATGGCAAGCCCCGCTGGATGCAGCTGACCGGTCTTATCCACGATCTAGGCAAGCTCCTCTTTTTCTTCGATGCCGAAGGCCAATGGGACGTTGTCGGCGACACTTTCCCCGTCGGCTGTGGCTTCGACGAGAGAATCGTCTACGGCCGCGACTCATTCCGCGATAATGAGGATTTCGGCCACAAGATTTACGATACTAAGTTTGGTATCTACACACCCGGCTGTGGTCTCGATAAGGTCATGCTCTCCTGGGGCCACGATGAGTACCTCTACCACCTCGCCAAGGAACAATCGACCCTCCCCGATGAGGCACTCGCTATGATCCGCTATCACTCTTTCTATCCTTGGCACAGCGCCGGTGCATACCATGAGTTGATGAATGACCACGACCGTGATATGCTGCGTGCTGTTAGGGCTTTCAACCCTTACGACTTGTACAGCAAGAGCGATGGAATTCCCAGTGTTGAGGAGTTGAAGGTATGTTTGACTTCCGCTAATTACTTGTGCATTCGAGGCTAACTTGTTTCTTTCTAGCCCTACTACATGGAGCTCATCAACGAGTACTTCCCCACCAAGGTCCTGAAGTGGTAAAAGCCTACGAATTGCCCTTCATGCGTCTTTATTCTACACACATTATTTCATGATTCCCCTTTGTCCCCCTTCCAGTGCCACGAAAATAACCGCGATACATGCGATCACATTCAATTAGCGTTAGAAATCCTACTACTTTCCCAGCCTCGGAATCATTCCAGGCAATCAAATGCAGAAACTAGATTAACAGTGACGAAAATAATCAGCTCTTCAACGAACCATCTTGTACGCTAGGAAGTGAATAAGTATGCTGGATTCAAATTGATATTAAAGTCACTAAAATGCCACTGTGCAAAGGACAGCCCGCTCACCTGAGTGAGTCCAATGAACCGCTGGAAGTTCAATAAATTTCCATCGATATTACCACAAGTAGAGTTAGAGTCTACTTTAAACCAAAATACAAGTTACATTCATATTGAAGTCAGATATCGTCTTATTTTTGAAAGGGTATTGGGATAACAGCATTCAACATATACGGTGTATCCAAAGACTCAATAAACATCACAGATTATCTACAAACGAGCCAACTCTGACCGGTTCCCATCCTCATCGAAGAAAATCTTCTTCTGTGTAATCATCGACTCCTGCAGAGCAGCGCCAATCCTCACAGCCTTAACAGCATTGTTAAGATCGATAGGCAACGCAGTATTATCAAGACAAGCAGCCGAGAACTCATTAGCCTCGGTAACAAACGCATACTCAAAGCGATCATAGTAGGTCTGAGGGATCTCCCTCCTCACCCCGGACTCATCAAAGATATTAACATGGTTCATCGCCGGCTGAGTGTTCACCGCCAGCTTTCCCTTTGTGCCAATGATCTCCGTAACATCCTCCTGGCCGGCAGCCATCATGCGGGAAGCATAGAAAAAGGCCATACGGCCGTCGTAGAACTCGACCAAGCCGACGGCATTGTCGCGGTCATTGTGCTTGCGCAGATCGGGCTCGACGGCTGTAATGCCTACAGCTGATACGGACTTCACTTTGCAGTCGTCCCCGAAGAACCAGAGTGTCAGGTCGATATCGTGGATGGAGCAGTCGACAAAGATCCCGCCGGAGAACTCTGCGTATGCGACGAAGAACCCGCTTGGGTCGAGTTTGTCGCAGGTTTGGCTGCGGAGTACTGATGCAGTGCCGATTGCTCCTGACTGCATCTTCTGGTATGCGTCTCGGTAGGACTTGTCGAAGCGTCGGGAGAAACCGCACATCACTTTGAGGTGTGGCTTCTTGGCTGCTGCGTCGATGACGGATTGGGACTGTATAAGAGGTGGATTGTTAGTTCTTGGTTTTCATTGTTTGGTTCTTTGTATATGGTAGACTAGACTGATTGGGGTTGAGATGGATTCAAAATACAACTTACCACTTCAATGCTTGTAGAGATAGGCTTCTCGCAAAGAACGTGCTTGTCGGCTTCAATTGCCTTGATTGCCTGCTCGGCATGTACTGCAGTTGCCGATGCAACCACCACGGCAACTAGACCTTCATGCTTGAGCATGTCGTCGTAGTTCTGGTACAGGCGTACACCAAAGGGCTCGAGGTGAATCTTGGCCCATTCGAGTTCGACGGGGTCAGGGGAGCTGGCAGCCACAAGCTCGGCTCGGGGAGTACGCTGCAAAAAGTTCAGGGCATGGCGCTTGCCCATACGGCCTAGACCAGCACAGCCGATCTTCAATCTTTGGGCCGTCATTATGTAAAATTTATAGGTCAAGACGGTGAAGGAGATCCGGAAGATGAAGAATGTCAAGAATGTCAAGAATGTCAAGGAAAAATAGAAATCAATTGCTAATAAAGGGGATTTTTGAAACTGGGCTGTTATAAAGTCAGAGCTAAATGCGGAGGCCAGTCTCCGAAGATCATCTCCGCAAACGTGGGGTCGGAAAGTGAATTCCACACCGAACTCCAATATTATGACCTCGGGGCATAAAAGAGGTCGTTAATTCACTTCCGTGTCGGGTTTCTTCGATTCCCGTCGCAATTTGCGTTTCGCAACATCCACTGGATCCGCAAATCCATCACCTCTTAGCCAACCCAGAGCCTTACGCAGTCCACCACCCTGCACGGCCTCGGGGTTCGCCTCAAGGATCGACCCCATAAGCGCCCAGGACATAACAAATAACAATAGCTCACCGCTTCTTCGGCCCTTCCATAGTCCACGCTTGACCCCGGTCTTGTATGCCGAATCAACAGCGGCCCGGAAGAACCAGAGGAACTTGCTGCGGCTATTGCCCAGGAACAAAAATGGTAGACCGCCTAGTGCTCCACTAAGGAAGAATCGCTTGGTGGGAAGCGTTGTTCGGGGTAAGTTGTTGTTCAGGAGACAGACACTACCCCAGGCTGAGCCACTTGCAGCAGCAAGAACCGCTGTCATGGTGATAATACGCTTTGAGATGGTGTTCACTGATGAAATAGGCTGAAGCAGAATGCTCTTAAATTTGGGGATCGAAAGTGCCAGAGTGACCGTCGTGAGGAACCGCGCAAGCGGCGGTACAGAAAGAAGAATATGATGCAAGAATGCTGTGTTGCAGTTCGGGAGGTTTGGGTGCAAAAGAGCGCATGATAGACTTGAGATTGCAGGGTGTGCCGGTCCAGTGATTGGGGAGATGGAAGCCACCGATGACGGTAAGGTGTTGGGGTCGCCGGGGTGTAGGATTGGAGAAACGAATGCCCTGTGTCATATTAGCGACCGCTATACTGATTAACGGACTCAGATTCAAACATACGGCCAGCGGAGATCAGCAATAGAGGCAAGAGAGTTCACAATCTCTTCCTTCTCGGGCCAGGCGACGTTGGCCGGGAGCGACTCCGGTCGGCCTTGGATGTAACTCGGCGAGAGCCTCAAAATCACATTTCCAAACCACTATGGCATCAAATTAGCGACCGTAACTCAAACCGAGAAATTTCCGACCACAAACATTAGGTGTAGTCTCGCGATCAAACACAAAGGCATGGAAGAGCTGCGCAAATGAGATGGGCATCAACAGCCAGCTGCCGAACCACCACGGGCGCTTATCCAGCCAGCCTTTAGAGTCCAGGACATTAAAGAGGAATTCCAAACTCCTAGTGCTTGTGTAAATCGCCGCAGTCAGTCGAAGTTGGTCCTGCGGGCAGATGCCTAGGGCGAAACCCGCCAGACTTGCGCCGATCGCTGGCGCGAAGCGCGAGGTCAGCGCTCGCGAGACACGCGGGTTGCGCTCTCTGAACGGCTTTGCATCGTCAGTGCGGAGGTTGGCTCGCAGACGGATGAGGAAGCGGTAGAGGAGGCGATGGATGAGGAGGAGGAGGGAGAGGGAGATGGAGAGACGGAATTTGGGAGATCGGAGGAGGGGGGTTCGGGTCTTTTTCCTGTAGAGCCAGCATTAGTGCTTATTCCTAAGAGACTCCTCTCTTAGTAGATTAAATTGATCTTACTGTGGAGCGCCTTGGAACCGAGTAATCAACAGATCCGCCAACTTCAACGCGACTCCAGAGCCGACGAAGACTCGCAGCGATGAGCGAATAGCAGCTTCACCATGTCGATTCTTCGGGCGAGCGATGGCATCGTAGCGAGATGGAGATGGTAGCTTGTTTTGAACGGCAGGGGCGCGTTTGATCACTGATTCGTGCAGGAATCGGTATTCTTTGGCGCTGAGGCAAACGCGGAGGACGTCGCGTACGGCGCGAGGTGGAAGTTCCAGCGTATCCCCTGGGACTGGGAGCTTGTCCGCGGCGGACATGTTGGGTGGTTGTTGATATCAAGTTAGAGCATAATGGCCCAGGTGGAAGTCCGGGGATGAGAAGGGGGGCCGCTCAGACGCGGAGAAGCCCGACCTCGGTAATTCCCACCAACACATGGAGAAAATGGAAGCAGCATGTTGGATTCATACATGTATTTTGATTAAATATCTGGAATTCTCAATGCCTTCAAATTTTACATGCTACCCTAAATTGAGAGCATGAAGGCATTCGCTCAAAAGATCCTCGATATCCATGAGCCAATTATGGCAATGGTGCCCCAGATTATGGCCTGTTCTCAATCCAACTACCAAATCAGCAATAAAGTCATCAGTCGTCCCACCAGACCGATGAGATATGAAAGCACCCCAATCAAAACTATAGGCCAAGTTCGCCCTATGGATAATTAGATTGTTTCCAAATCCTCAGGGGGGTATAAGGGTACCCACGCCTCAATTGCTTCGGAAATGGTGCCTATTTCATTGATTTTGAGCAGCATAGAATTGCATGCTTTCTTATCCTTTGCCTCCTGCACATATTCCGTATTCGTGACAGGTAAATCGTCCCCAACCAGTTTAACTGGATATTCTTTGTTGAATTCGATCCACCTATTCCAATCGGTTTCGGCGAACGGGTCTTCTAGTAGAACGATGGGATAATCTTGCCACAATGAGTGATACGGTTCTCTAAGTTGTTCTGGGCTGTGCAGGTTCGATTTGTCTGTAAACCCAATAACTGCCATCCCGGAAGAATTCGCTCGATGCTGGATCAATGGCGAATTTAATTTTGCCGGTATATCCAGCAAGAGAGACAGCTTCAACCAGGAGTTCTAGTGCCTCATGAGGCTGGGAAATCTATGGTGCAAATCCCCCTTCGTCCCCAATGCCGGTAGCTTGAGATAATCAGTAATGTTCAAGATATTGCGAGAAGGTATGCTAACCAGATGGTCCAAATTTCTCAACGATGATCTTCTTCAGTTGCTGGTAAACTTCGCTCCAGATTTATACTGCTTTCATGAAAGAGGACGCCCCAACAGGAGCGACCATAGTCCCTTGAAAAGCCATCTTGTTCCCTAAATGCACACCTCCATTCAAGATATTGGAGAACAGCACTAGTATCACGAATGGCCTTTTTGTTCTAGACTCACGTTGAAGAGACTCGTACAACGGAATTCCCTAACTATGTATCAGCTATCATTTTCACTCGTTCATCTTAGTTCCAATGTACTGTATGGGCTGCACCCGCTCTAGCATGTGCCCTGAGCTTCGTCATGTTTTTCGTGCCATCCAGATCCTTAAGAAGAGAATCAATTATGCAGAGACATCTCCATCTCGCAGCTCAATAGCTTCATTCGCACCTGTGGACGCACCGGAAGGAACGATGGCCCGAAAGGTACCTACATCAGTGTAAAAAGCGAGTTTATCTATGGTCAGTACTCTGTTTCCTCTGTCCGTAGTAAAATCAAATTTAACGGTTGGGTGTCCCCCAAATCTAAGCGCTGAGTAGCCTGAATTGACCTAATCATTGTGGACTTGATATAATCAAGCGTGGTAACTCTATGTGACAATAGTTGCAATGGTCGTTGCTATCGCCAAGAAGGCATGACGTAAAGTCAGGAGTATCTACGGGACTACTATGTAGGTAGTGACAGCTGATACCCATAAGTCGGATCTAGTGCAGATGAATACCTTTTTTTATCGTACGCTTCTAACGCCGATATGCTCTCGAGCGATTTGAGCCCATCACGATGCCTAATTGCGAAATATAACGTGGTAGGAAGATGGTTGTAGTCCCTACATTTCTAACCCTGGAGCCAGATTATCCTAGTTTCCAATGTTGTCACCCAAGATCAGCTTTGCAAAGTGTTAATCTCCAAACGAACCATCGCTGACATGGTTGCCTCGCCTTTTTGGTTATTCTGATGTCTATGTCACAACGGTTAACACCACCTTTGGTTCTACACGCCCTGTAGCAAGCCAAAACGGAGAATCTTCGTTCAGACCTCCTCCATGGACTTAGATGTAAGCAACAACACAACCATCACATCATTACCTCGGCAGGTTTAGCAAAAAAAAAAGTCTTTTCTGTCCGATTCACTTGATTATAATGCGTGTCCATGACTACATGCTCAGATTAGGGGTAATTAGGTAGATACAACCTCGAAGCATCTTGATTTATGGCATTTTTTGCCTTATAGGGCACCAATCAAACAAAACACGCATTCTGAATAAAAGGAGTAGACTTTTGTTTCAGTGCCACAATATCTTCCCTGGGTCTGCATCTGTTGAGCCCGGTATCAAGCAATTGGAATTAAGTGCTTGGCGTGAAACACAAGCTTAATGGAGCTCCACATGACTTTCGACGGCGCATAATATAGTTTGCAGATATATAAATTCTACATCCTCATTGGACAATGATCAGTTCGTCCCAAACTGAAACCAATATGTCTCGGCCAATTTAGCCGATGATATTCCGATTATTAATTTTTCCGGCATCGTTATTTCGTAGGGCTTTAGACTCGGTGGATCTGAATGTTTCGGAGAATTTCCAGGTTGGGTGTAGGTAACACTAATAGATTAATCCAATGCCACCCTGGGCTCCTGAATTAATCCACTGAGTGCTCCGACTGTGTACAGGGGTCAACCTCATGGAATATGGCGATAGTCCGGTTTCATAAGGAGACTAGCGTAGGGGATCTAAGCAGAATACCGTGCAGACCAAGCATTTAAATATCAAGGCCAAGCTCCATGAAATAGCTTATTCAAACCCATCCATTCATTCATTCTTTTCTCATTTCCTATTGCACGAAATTGGGCTAGTCCCGAACATTTACACTCTCTTTACTTATCTGTTGATCGGATATTTACTTCAATATGCGTACATCTTTCGTTTCCATGCTGGCCCTTGGCGCTGCCATTGTGTCCGCTGCCCCAGCTCCTTCTCGTGTTTCCGAGATCGTTGAGCGCTCTTCCTCTACTTGCACGTTTAACTCCGCTGCTAGCGCCAGTGCTGGCAAGAAGTCCTGTTCTACCATTGTGCTGGACAACATTGCGGTCCCTGCCGGCAAGACTCTCGACCTTTCCAACCTGAAGGAAGGCACCAAGGTAGATATCTCCGTTATCCAACCACCAAGAACCAAAGATCTAATAGTTTTTGTATAGGTCATCTTCAAGGGAGAGACCACCTTCGGATATAAGGAGTGGAAGGGTCCCCTCATCCGCTTCTCTGGCTCAAACATTGAGGTCAGCGGCGAAGCAGGCCATGTGATCAACGCCGACGGAGCCAGATGGTGGGACACCAAGGGAACCAACGGCGGAAAGGCCAAGCCCAAGTTCTTCTACGCCCACTCCCTGGACCACTCGTCCATCACCGGCCTGAACGTCAAGAACACCCCCGTCCAGGCTTTCAGTGTCCAGGCCGACAACCTGGTCCTCGACCACATCACCATCGACAACTCGGACGGTGATAAGAATGGTGGCCACAACACCGATGCGTTCGACATTGGCGAGAGTACCTACATCACTATCAGCAACGCCAACATCAAGAACCAGGACGACTGTCTGGCTGTCAACTCTGGCGAGGTAAATAGTCAAACGATACTGCTACCATGATAAATCAGCTAACCCGGTCATCTACTAGAACATCATCTTCACCGGTGGTTACTGCTCTGGCGGCCACGGTATCTCCATCGGATCCGTTGGCTTACGTGACAACAACGTCGTGAAGAACGTGACCATCTCCGACTCCACCGTGACCAACTCCGCCAACGGCGTGCGCGTCAAGACCATCTACAAGGCTACCGGTTCAGTCTCCGATGTGACCTTCTCCAACATCGAGCTGTCCAAGATCACTTCATACGGTATCGTTATCGAGCAAGATTACGAGAACGGCAGCCCTACCGGCAAACCCACTACCGGTGTCCCCATTACCGGCCTGACTGTCGAGAAGGTTACCGGCACTGTTTCGAGCAGCGCTACTGATGTCTACATTCTTTGCGGTAGCGGTAGCTGCTCTGACTGGACTTGGTCTGGAAATTCTATCACTGGTGGTAAGACTAGCAGCAAGTGCAAGAATGTGCCTTCTGGCGCTTCTTGCTAGATTGCTGGGGATCAACTGGTGATCACTCTATAGCATGCCATCAACCAAGCAGAGACCGGGCTATCTTCAAGACAATTTTAATTAGATGGCCTAGGGGATGAGGAGGTGAAATGCTGTCAGTTGGATTGCTTTTTTGGAGGTCATTGTACTTATATAGCCATCTATAGACGGTTTAATTTGAACCCTTCTGAAGCTATCTGATATTAATTTATAACACTATAAAACACATCTGAGATTAGCACACTTCACTCGTATATTAAATTTCTATACAATATTTCGCAATTAGAAATCCAAACTCAGCATTTAGGATGAATCCATTTTGATGACGCAACTCACTTTCCCCAACAATCATAACTCCCAACGCTTCAGCATCTTCTCTCCCTCTCTCACTCTCTCTCCTACACAAAGTCATATCCAAATCACATCAAAATGCACGTCCTTCTACTCGGCGGTCACGGCAAAGTCGCCCTCCACCTTACTCCGCTCCTCCTCAACCGGGGCTGGAGCGTAACCAGCGTCGTTCGCAACCCCGCTCACGAAAGCGAGATTCTAGCTCTAGGCCAAGGTCACAAGGGCACCGTCAAAGTGCTACTCTCTAATCTAGAGGACGTGAAGAGTCCCTCAGATGCCCAAGTAATCATCGACACGGTTGGGCCGGACTATGTCGTCTGGTCGGCTGGTATGGCACCCCTCACTCCCCTCACCCCGCACCCACTTATGTGAACATACAACCATGGAACACGCACATAAGCCATTCGAGGAAATGAAAGGATATGCACTGCCCTATCCACCATGTAAAATCTACAATTCCCCCAGACAAACTAACACTGTACAGGCGCGGGCGGCGTAGGCGGCCCAGAACGCACAATCGCTATCGACCAAGAAGCCGCGAAGCACTTCATGACTGCCTCCTTTGCCGCACCGGGCATCAGCAAGTTCCTCATGGTGTCGTATCTCGGCAGCCGACGCAATCAGCCGAGCTGGATGCCGGACGACCAATGGGCGGGGATAGTGCGGACCAACTTTGAAATTATCCCGGCCTACGCGAAAGCCAAGAAAGAAGCCGACGAGTACATGACAGCACTGGCTGTGCAGCGGAAGCGTGCTCCTGGACCAACGCGGCCTTTCCAGGCTATTAACCTGCGGCCTGGACTCCTGCTCGACCAGCCTGCGACGCGGAAGGTCGATCTGGGGATCACGCCTTGGGGTCGGGGGGCAGTTACTCGAGAGGATGTGGCGATTGTCGCAGATCTTTTGCTTTCCAGGGCTGATACGGAAGGGTGGATTGATCTTGTTAATGGGGAGGAAGACGTTGAGGAGGCTGTTGAGAGGGTTGCGAGGGAGAAGATTGATGCTGTTGCTGGGGAGGATGTTGAGGGGATGGTTAAGAGGTTCTTCCCTTGAAGGATTATTGAGTCCGGGCTCGAATCTCTAGGTTTTCAAGCTAGGAAAGGGCCTGGGATTGGATATAGGTACAGATACTTTTCGGGTCTTACATCTTTCAAGTATGAAAACGAATATGAATGAACATGAACAGATCTAAGGTGTGTGCATATTGTATGTCTATCTAAGAGAACTCATTTACAGCTTGGCTTTGGGTGCCTCGGCTGCCCCCTTGAACTTCGACTTCAGAATCCGACGCAGGATCTTCCCACTGGGGTTCTTGGGGATCTCATCCACAAACTGCACTCCACCACGCAGACGCTTGTGGCCGGCAACCTTGCTATCCAGCCATTTGATAATGTTCGCTGCTTCATCCTTCTCACTTATTCCAGAAGCCTTGCTCTTCGCACTGCGAACGACACAAGCCATAGGAACCTCGGAACCGTGGGTCTCACTCTCAATGCCAATGACAGCAACATCATCAATGGCATCGTTGTCAACCAGATATCCTTCCAACTCAGCAGGAGGCACCTGGAAGCCCTTATACTTAATAAGCTCTTTAACACGATCGGTAATGTAGAAATGGCCCTTGGCGTCCTGGTAGCCAACGTCACCAGTCTGGAACCACCCGTCCTCAGACAAGCAGCCCTTAGTAGCCTCTGGGTTCTCGTGATAGCCCAGGAAAATGTTAGGTCCACTTAGATACAGTTCGCCAACCTCGCCCACGGCGACCTCTTGGGGTTCGGATCCATCCTCGGGCATAGTCATATATTTAGCTTCCATGTTAGGCATCAAACGACCAACGGAACCCATAGCCTCGCGCCAATCCTCCCACCGCTGGGAGTGTGTAGTTGGGCTGGTCTCGCTGAGTCCATAGCCCTGCTTGATACCAACCTTGATGCGGGAGTAGACTGCCTCGACCAGCTCTTGGGTGAGCGGTGCCGCGCCGGAGTTCATCATGCGAAGGCTTGAAAGGTCATATTTATCGACCACGGGGTGCTTGCCTAGCAACAACACCACGGGAGGGACGATGTAACTGAACGTGCAGCGGTAGTTCTGCACATGTGCGCACCACTTTTCAATGTCAAATTTCGACATGACGATCAAGTGATAACCCTTGTATAAAGCTTGGGTAATTAAGCAGGTCAATCCTAGAGGCTTGTAGTTAGTATCTTGTCCATCCGAGAATCTACGCGATTTGAAAGCCATACCATAGATATGATAGAATGGCAAAAATGCCAGGACGCGATCCCCCTTTCCATCATGACCACCATTCCAGTTCAACATTCCACCCTCACCAATGACCTGCTGCATAATATTGGCAACAATATTCCGATGCGACAGCATGACACCCTTAGGCACACCAGTAGTTCCAGACGAGTAAACCAAGAATGCCACCTCCTTCGCAGGGTTGATCTTCTGTTTGCGGTAGCGGGTAGCGCCAGAGATATTGCGCACAGAGGTAAAATGCTTGATCCGCGCATTGGGATCACGCTGGTCTCCAATCAGAATAATGCGGTCCTCAGACATGCCGACTCTCTTCGCAGCTTCCTTTGCGGCAGGCAGCAGCGGGGCTTGCGTTACAAGACCCTTGGCACCGGAGTTCTTAAGCTGGAAGGCCAGCTCGTCAACCGTGTAACCTGGATTCGCAGGCGAGATAATTCCGCCGGCCCAAAGTGTACCCCACATCACCACGGGGGTGTCGATGCTGTTTGGTGTGAAGAGCGCCAGTACATCGCCCTTGCGCCACTCATGAACGGCTTTCAAGCCCTTGCCAAAATCTAGCGAGGCATCGCGGAGCGATTTGTATGTGTAATGGCGTTGGGTATCAGCATCTTGGTAGAGAACTGGTGGAGTGTCAGTATGAACATTCAAAACAAATGCTGTATTCAACGGCGCAGCATTGGGATCATTGGACACGCACTCTTATCATCTGGATAAGCTCTATCCTTGCGCTCAAATAGAAAGGTCCAGAGGTCTACTTCTGGGATATCGACCAGAGGGTAATTGGAGGGGACCGGCATTATAGGGAAATAAAGCTAGTTCTAAAAATGTGAGGCTCAAAAAGGATTGTCAGATGAAAGAAAGACGGTGGACAGCCGAGTTCTTAAAGAGTTCCCCTAGAGTTCCTTCTCCGCACTCTCGGCTCGCGGCTTGCCTCGGCCTTTGCATTATTACTCAGCCGACCGCCCACCCGAATTTACAAGTGCTTGTTGGATTTTGCGCTTTTGTAATTAGACTGAAAGATTTATTATGCACTAATCCGAATAATCATCTGCTCTGTCAATGTTCAATGCATACCCGTTGACATCGTTGACATTGTTGGCATCGGCACTCGGAGATCTCGGCGGTTTGATCGCCTGTGCGGATATATATGTAACAGATCTTCCCGAGTGCCGGATGAAAAGCAATGAGTGCAAGCAGGAAATATATAGTACCTCGATCAAACTACAAGATTTGGTGAATGCGAGATTCTGTGGGGAGCGACGTGACATTGAAATGTCCATAACATTGTAAGCATCGAACTTCATCTTGGAAACTCCTTAGAAGTCGAGTAATCCTATAGTAGCCCAAAACAGGATTGAAGCTATGAGTGCGTTAAGTGCAATAAGTGCAATATACATATGTATCTAGAAATCTAAAGTGGCCGCCACATTCGGGAAAAAACCGTCCGGAAATATATATACCATGTAGCCCTAGAGACATGTTCCTTCTGGCCATGGCTAGCGATGCAGGAATAGAATACATACGAAACGACATTCTACTAGAGATGGGCTTTCAATTCTTGTTAATTTAGATTCAACACAAGACTTGCACGTAGTGAGGCTTAATAAACCTACCTAGCCAACGAGTTGAGTGACATCCCGCTTCCCCAGAGTAAAGGTAGCGGAGTCCAATTTGTGGAGTAGTTCAGTGATACGATGTGTAGTCTGGAAGACCTAGACTCAGTGCCATGAGGGTTTGTCTAATTTTCCCCTTCGGGTTACGGCCTACGACGTGGCTAGAAATGAAATTTGTAGTGTCGTTAGATTTAGACTCCTTTCCCGATGACACAAAGCGAGACGGAGGAAGGAGTATCTTTTTTTTACCTCGTCAGATTCGACGAGGGACTAAATCCAGATCCCAAGATGATTTCATGCCGACAAGATCTTAAATTGAGTTGGAAACAGCTGACCCGCACTGGAAATACATGCTGAAAAAAAGAGCCCAGTTGAGAGTTTTGCTGAATTCCATTTTTGCTTTCCCAGCACCATTTCCTCCACACGCCACTCCGAGGGGAATCGTTTGAAATCGTTTACTTGAGGGGAATGAAACGGGAAGAGTGGGTGGCACCGATACCGGGACGACCGTGCTTGACGGGCTTGCTGGAAGGTTGTTAGTGCTCTGATGTTAATGGTGGTGGACGAATCTCGGGAGCACATACTAAGAGATAGAGAACTCAGCCAGGTAGTGGCCAACCATCTCGGGCTTGATCTCAACCTGGTTGAACTCCTTACCGGAGTAGATACCGACGACAGAGCCGATCATCTCGGGGACGACGATCATGTCACGGAGGTGGGTCTTGACGAGATCGGGCTTCTCGTTAGGCTTGGCCTCCTGCTTGGCCTTGCGAAGCTTCTTGATGAGACCCATGGGCTTGCGCTTCAGACCGCGGTTGAAACGTCTGCGGGCACGGGCGTGAACGACATCACGGAGCTGCTCAGAGGAAAGGTCGAGGAGCCTGTAAAATGATTCAGTTAGACCAGTGTCCATGCAAACTTTTGGTCCTTGGTGTCCATTCGCAATGCAGTGCCCCGGAGGCGATAACCGAAATGCCAAATGTGGTTCACCCGTAATGGTTGTTGGAATGTCATATGACCACCTTCAATTCCGTCTCACGAGGCACTGGCTGCGAATGGATGCCCAAGGGTTCGATGATTGGCAATGATAACGTACTGGTCGAGGTCAATGCCGCGGTAAGAGAACTTGCGGAACTGTCTTCTCTTCTTGATCTCTGTTCGGCGAAGGTTCAGTCAGCGTCTGCGATCTTGTTGTAGTGCGTGTCTCCCTGCATCCCAGGTCCATGTCGTTCCCCGCCAACATATATTTCTTCAATTCTCATCGTGTAGTCGATCGTAATGCGCGCTCTCTCTCTCATTCGGGTTCTTTTGTCCATGGGCGATGGGTGGGGATAGGATTGATTCTTAATAACGTACCGGCAGCCTCCTCGGCGTTCTAGATGAAAACTCCATGTTAGTGTATCGCACGGGCTTAAAGGGCAAGGGCAAAAAACTCACGTATTCGGTGTCAGCCATTTTTGCAGATATTCCTGTAAACCGCCTTTCGACCGTATCTCGAAAAGCGAAGGAAGATGAGTTGTCGGAAATTGTCGTGTCGCTGAGCGGTCCGGCTGCTAGCACACAGGCTCTACGAGGTGGGCAGCACTCGTTAAGCGACGGGTAGGTTCCAAGCCCTAGACACTAGACCATTTTGGGTTACGGGTAATCTATTTTGAAATTTTTTGTTTTTGATTTGTAATCAAATTCTTTGGAAACTCGATTTACTCGACTTTGCTTGGGCATGGCATTGAAAACGCTTGTACTCATTGGTGTAATTTATTTGTATTATGATTACCTATCACCCTCCCAGGGCTGGACATGCATATCGTATCAGTCGGAGGTTGTTGATGGTTCTTATCCGAGTACATTTAGTTATCATGACGTGAATGGTTAAACCTCTAGTTCTCCAGGGAGAGATTTAGCTACACGCTATTTGCTTAAACGCTGAGCGGGTCCCGGCGATCTTTCAAGAACTACGTATTGAGAATAAGAAAAAAGTTGTAGTCAAGGCCAGACGAATTGTATTGGCTAGTATGAGCTTATTCCAGCTCACATGAAAAGTCGCAACTGTATCAAAACAGTCTCAACCGAACACACTTGAGAAGCCAACCGGCGCAAATCTTGCCCGGACTGACGAACCAACCAAACATCTGTTCCCCAGAACCATGATTTTTAGGCCTTGGATTAAAGCGCTTAATCGAAGAGACCGAAGCCCATGTCCTCATCGGACTCCTCCTCCTTCTCCTCGACCTTCTCCTCAGCGGGAGCGGCGGCACCACCGGCAGCGGCAGCGGCAGGGGCGGCAGCGGCACCAGCACCGCCGGAGGGAACGGAAGCGAGCTTGGTAGAGCCCTCAGCGATCAGCTATATAAAAAGTCAGTATGCGGTTCAGGTCAGATATATGCGTATTCATATATTACTAACCTCCTGGAGGTCCTTGCCCTGGAGCTCGGAGATGACCTTCTCGAGACGGTCACCCTCAGCGTCGATACCGACGGAGGAGAGGACAGCCTTGATATCGGCGGAGGAGGGGGCCTCGTTGCCGGCAAGGGCGACGAGGAGGTAGGCAGCGAGGTACTTCATTTTGAAAGGACTGGACGAAAAATCTTCATTAGTATCGCGAATTCAAGATTGGATGAGATCGCACTTTTCAAGCCGCTCTTCCAGCTGATAGACACGAAAACGAGATGCACATACCGTTTGTGATTATTATCTGAACAAGAGAAACAATCGATTTAACCGCGAATTGGGCGGAGACTGCAACGTCGAGTTCTGGTGGAAAGAGGTTGGTTGACGAAGGATTAACCGAACGCTCAAAATCTTGAAAAAAAGGTGGTGCGAGTGGGTGTGGCTAGTGCCGGCGGGACTTCTAAGCGAGTGGGTGTGGCGCAGTGTTAGTTACCACGTGACCATTTCATATCCGGCCTTGATAATTGCATGCTGGCCTAGAAACCTTTCTGCCTTTTGTACTCGCCTACGCAGTATATACCTCTCACCTGCAAGCTCTTGGGCCAAGTCAGGCGTGTCCTTTGCTTGTGTCAGTTCTGTTATATTGGAATAACAGAAAATCCGGAGCGAGCCAAGCCAGAGATCTATTCTCATGGTATCGGGCTCGGAGTCATGAAGTTACTTAGTCGTACCAAATATCGACGGTGAGCGGCTTCTTCTCTGTACTACTCTTCAACCTTTCACCATTCGGGATATTCTTCTTATAAGTTCACAATGAGTGTAGGACTACCTATCTTCTTTTTTCAGGTCATTTTTGACTGACATGTAATAGTTCCTCGATTCCGTTCTCTCATCTCTTCAGACGGGTAAGCCCGCTCAGCTGCCACCGTCTCAGGCGCCTGCCTCGCCTGCGTCTGCCTCAGTCCCCAAAAAGGAGGACCGAAAACCGATCGCTGTGCGACAGGCGCCCCCCACCAGCGGTAATGTCAGTGGAGGTATCAAGCGCAAAGCCGAGGATCAGCTGGCTCGGCCACCAAAACCTGAAAGCAAGGCGACAAATAACACCGCTCCAATGAAGCCTACGCTTTCCACGAGACCAGCGGTATCATCCACAGCGACCAGAGTTGCGCCAAAGCCAGTCTCGACCAACATCTCCAGACACACCCTATCCAAGCCCACCTCCAAACCCAGTTTGTCTGCGGCCCCCAAAGTGGCACCCTCACAGAAGGTGCCCGCCCCCAAACCAACCAATGCAGCCGCTGCTACACAGTCGAAGCCGCCACCAAAGGGATCATTTGCGGAGATCATGGCGCAGGCAAAGGCTAAGCAAGAGACGGCGCCCGTGGGCGTGGGCCTACTACGACACCAAGCCGGTCGCAAAGAAAGACTTACCAAAGTCGAGCGCAAGCGTCGCATGATGGAACTCCAGGCTAAAGAAAAAGAAGCGCGTTTGGGAAAAAAGACTGGATCGGGTGTTTCTACCAAGGACAGGCCTGCTGTCCGGCAGCGCGATTCACAGGGGTCCTCATACAGGGGCACGGCCAAACCGACACAGACTCCCGAGCCGCCCACCTACCGTGGAACTGCGGGCCTGCCGTCAAACCGTGGTGGAAACGACCGTCGACACCAGTCTCGCAATTCCAGACAAAACGAATATCTCGGAACCGACGAGGAAGATGAGGGTGATCTCGGTGGCTACGACGATTACTATTCCGATGCATCATCCGACATGGAGGCCGGAATAGACGATGTGGACCGCGAAGAGGCGGCTGCATTGGAATACGCCAAACGGGAGGATGAGAAAGAGCTGCGAGCAGAAATGGCGGCTAAGAAAGAGAAGTTGGAGCGCCAGCGGAAACTGGCTGCTCTTGCTTCTAGGAGCAAGCGTTGAAGTTTGGATGTTCTTATACCTTCAAATTTTTTGGTTATTCACTTCCGAGTACTTTCCATGATCTCTTTTGTTTTGGGTAGGACTGCATACATATTAACTCCGCATTATGAGCGTTCGGGGTGTCCATAGACGGGGATACCTGGATTTTTTATTTGAAGCACCATTAATAGCGAGCGCTATTTCAATACCAACTTACTTTTTTTTTGTGCTATTTTGCATACTGTAACATTTTATATTGAAGTCATCGGCTATCACCCGCGGACAACCTTGGAACTCCTAGGCCCCACTCAGGTGACATCACCTTCACCTCCGTAACTTATCATCTACATTTTCGCATTCTTTGACTATCTCACATATTTACAATGGAGTCTGTTCATCATGTCTCGGTCTCATCAAAAGTGCTCTTCAGCAAGGTGCGCAAGATTGTACCTCCAATGCTTGAAAAATTCCACAAAGGTCTGTGATCAGGAGTTATCGACGCTATGATCTACACAATGGACATCCCCGTTGACTATTAGCCCAGGACAGCTTGGTCGTGTAGCTGTTATTGGAGGCTGCGTTGAGTAGGTTCTCTGCCTGGCGACACTGGTATCCTACTAACTGGCATAAGCTACACCGGAGCTCCATACTTTTCAGCCATGGCCTCTGCAAGACTTGGTATGTCCTCTAATCAGGCCCATGCTCTCCACCAATATATTGACTCTTGAATTGCAGGGTGTGATATGGTAGGCACGAAATATGACATACCTTCTGCAAACGACTAACAATCACCAGAGCCACGTACTCTGTGAACGATCCGCAGCACCAGTAAGCTCACACCCGGCCTAAATCGAGCCCACTCTAAACATATAATGCACAGGTTATCAAGGGATACTCCCCCAATTTGATGGTACATCCGTTGCTTCCAAGCAGCGACACTGTCAAGGATCCCAATTCAATTGATGCGCCATCACTGGCGGGTCCGATTATTGGGATGCTATCCCGCCTCCATGCACTTGTAATTGGACCGGGTCTTGGCCGCGACGGCGTGACGCTCAAGGTGGTTGCTGAAGTGATCAGAGAGGCGCGGTCAAAATCAATCCCATTTGTGCTGGATGCAGATGGATTACTGATTGTGACGCAAGACCCGAGCCTGGTAAAAGGCTACAAGGAGTGCATTCTCACGCCAAACGTGGTAGAGTTTGGCCGTCTCGCCAAAGCGATGGGTGTCAAGGTTGCCAGCCAAGCGGAGATTGCGGAAGACGGAAACGGTGACACTACCAGCAAAGCATCAGATGCGTGTGAGCAGTTATCTCAAGCCCTCGGCGGTGTGACAATTCTCCAAAAGGGTCCTCAAGATGTGATCTCCAACGGGGTTACTAGTCTCATCTCTGATGGCAAGGGTGGCTTGAAGCGCAGCGGCGGCCAAGGAGATACTCTAACCGGATCACTGGGCACATTCCTTGCCTGGCGAGCGGCTTACCACGACAAATTGTGGGACTCTGGCGAGCAGGACAACGACAAGGAGGCGCATAACAAGGAAGAAGTTCAGGCAGAGCTCGATTCTGAAAAGAAACGCATGTCCCCGGCAACAACTCTGCTATTGGTGGCGTGGGCGGGAAGTAGCATTACAAGAGAGTGCTCACGACGAGCCTTTGTGGCCAAGGGGCGCAGCATGCAGGCCAGCGATCTGACCGATGAGGTCCACGGGGCATTTTTGAGGCTAATTGGAGAGCCAGACGAATCTAAGACGCACCTTTAGGCTACCATATAGAAGGCTAGTCATGCATATATGTACGAGGAAGACAGTACAGCTCTTGAATACACCGGAGCATATCTCCATGTATCCAGGCCTCCAGCTGCATGAAAATCCACCAATGAAACATGTCTCGTTCAATTTATAACAGTTCTCACAAGCGGTCTACAGTCACTAAAAGGAAGAGTCTCGAACCCTGTATTTTATACTTTGAAATCTCGTTCCGATATTGTAATTTTAGCGGCACTGGCTTTGTACGTGGTGTTAAATGGTATCTAGGTAGCATAGGGTATCTTTTGTCCACGGGTTGCATTTTACCCAAGATAAAGAAACAGCTCTGAGTATGTGAATATCGGCTTTTAATAATTCATTGATCAGCATGGTCAACCCCCGTCTTTCGATGCTGATGCTTTGAGACTCGGGCCTCAGACCGGTCCCGATTGCCGACTATTAGATGAGAATACAACTTTACTAGCCAATAAACGTCATTTGACAACACGATATCACCATGGTGACTCGTATTATTAGGACCTCTACCTAGGCACCCTTGATGGCATGCAGTGTAGATAGAAACCAAAAACAACGGGCCACAACCCCTGCCTCAATCTCGAGTAACCAGTGCCCAACTTACGCTGCTTCGCTTGCTTTCGCTAGCCGTTCGCCATGTTCCAAAAGCCTGCAGAAAAGAAATCCATTTGCATAAGTCTGCCCAGGTCAAAGAAGCTTCAGCTCATAGCCATTAAGCTTTAAGCTGTGTGAGACCTCTACCTTGGCAATTCAAAACCTCCGCATTTCTATACGGCTGTTGACGTCGAGATCTAAATGTGGCTAGGGGGATGGCCTAAGACATGCACCCCGCCTTAAGCCTTGTCCTTAATCGATGTTCCAAAACCTGAATACTCTTAGACATGCTGCTCAAAAGGTAATGTTGGGCTAATAGGCCATCGACATCACCTTCACCGATAGACATTGGTCGTGTTTTGAAGTATTGTTCCAGATCTCGTATTCCCAATCCCGGTTGCTTCTGCTTCGCTGTCCTATCCGACTATAGAGCATCAAATAGAGCCTATACAGGACTGAAGAAGTCAACTAATATGAATATAATCCAACCGCGGCACAATGTATGGCAAACATCTCCTTCGTACAACACCTTATACTGGGAAACCCAGGTTCATGGACCAACCTACAAAGTATACTGGGGTGTCCAGGCCGAGAAAGATCTTGTGATGCAACACAAGGCTGATGGGCTTCCAGGGAATAGAGAGAATGACCTCCTCCACAACAAAGGAGCATGCCGAGCCTAGCAATTCACATGGGCATATATATATTCTTGGAGACGAGTATATAAGATAGCAAATCTCCTGGCAGAAAATAACTCCATCACAACACAATCCCCAGACGCAAGTCATCGGATCTACTCCAAGTCTATACTCAAGCCTAGCCATTCACCCATATGCATTTCTCCATCATCGCTATGGTCATCACCACCGCCTCACTGGTGACCGCCGACTCCACACCAGGGTCGTGGTCCCAGTGCGGCACCTGTAGCCCTATCTCTGGCGAGAACCAGTGTGATCCGTCGACTTCGTGCATCAACACCGGTACATCCTTCCATTGTGCCTGCCGTGCCGGCTTCAAGGCGTCTGAGTACAATAATGACCTGTACCATCAGTTCCGCCTGCCGATGCCGAACTATGAGTTTCTTGTTTTCGTTCCTGAGAACACGCCTTGCAACACCCAGTGT